GGTCGAAGGACCAGAATTTTTGCTACAAGACGAGGATAAATGGCCAACTGAGGTGGACTTAGGTCCGATGGAGACCAGTGAAACTCGTGCAAAATTTTTATATCATCGCGAGACACAACCATGTTTCAATTATGAATATTTTTCATCCTGGATCAAGTTGTACCGTGCCGTTGCAAATTGGCTACTCTACATTGGGAAACTAAAGGCTCGTTGTGGCGGTTTCAATGCTACAAACGTTATTTTGACTGTTCAACATATTGAGCGCGCGAAGCTCTTAATATACAAAAGCGTGCAACAGGAACTACTTGAAGATTGGTCGACACTGAAAATGGGGAGATAATAGAAAGGAACAGTCCGTTATATAGGTTGCAGGTGTATATGGATAACAATGAGCTCATAAGAGTAAAAAACAGAGCGAGTAACTTTACGAATGAGTGTAAACCTCAAACTGATTTTATTTTCTTACCGCCAAAACATAGAGTATCGTACCTTATATGTGCGCACTATCATGAACGATTTTATCACATCCAACATGAAACTGCTTTAAATGAGGTCAGACAATTGTATTTCATACCAAAATTGAGACCATTATTCAAATCGATGCGACGAAACTGCAACGTATGTAAAATTTCATCGGCAATACCTCAAGCGCCGCAAATGGCCTTACTTCCCCCAGCACGACTAGCAGCTTTTCAACGTCCATTTACTCATGTGGGTATTGATTATTTTGGACCAATGGTGGTTATTGAGAATCGCAAAGCACTGAAAAGGTGGGGTGTTATAATAACTTGTTTGACTATCAGAGCCGTTCACATCGAAATCGCCCATAGTCTTAGTACTGACTCATGCCTAATGTGTTTAAGAAATTTTATTGCCAGACGAGGAGAACCTATCACCATCTACAGCGATAATGCAACGAATTTTCACGGTGTCGAGAACGTTTTAAAAAAGGAGTTAAAGAACATTGATTCCTCGGTTATGCAACACAAGCTAGCTCATCAAGGAATAGACTGGAAATTTAATCCACCGGCAGCACCACATATGGGAGGAGCGTGGGAGCGACTGATTAGAACAATTAAGACAGTGCTGTATCAAATTTCGCCATCTCAACGTTTTACGGATGAAAGTTTACGTACTGCATTACTTGAAGTTGAAATGATCATCAACTCGCGTCCTTTAACCTACGTGTCACTCGATAGTGAAGATGAGGATCCAATAACTCCAAACCATTTCTTGTTGGGGAGCGCTAATGGTTTGAAACCATTTTGTGATGCTAAGAGAATCGATCCAAAGATGTGCCTCCTACAATCTGAGATGTTTGCAAATCAATTTTGGCGACGATGGGTGCGTGAGATACTTCCGACATTAACGCGTCGCGGCAAATGGTTCAATAAAGTGAAACCCATTACGGTAGGAGACGTTGTGCTGATAGTTGATGAAACAGCTAAGAGAAATACTTGGGTAAAAGGCATAGTTATCGAGACAACTGTAGCGAAAGACGGCCAAGTAAGACGAGCTAAGGTCAAAACAACAAAAGGCTTTTTGGAGCGCCCTGCCGTAAAGCTGGCCATTCTGGATATCGGCAAAGTTGACGCAAACGACATTGGGGTCGCCTGCGGGGAGGAGAATGTTGCCGAAAATTGCGAATAATTTATAAACCTTTGTCTGGCAATCATGACAAACAGCTGACTTGGAGACTTCGAAATTTTTAGTAAATTTCCGTTTTTCATTTTTTCTCTTTTCTTGTTTGTGATTGCTAGACAAAGGTGAGTAAATTTTTAGTTTAATTTTTCAATCGTAATTTTTTAATGTAATCATTAATCATGTTACAGATTTTTTAAGCGCAAAATAAAGAGTGCTATTTAAAATTGTCATAAGGGCATTTATATACTTATTTTTACAACAAGTATTATTAGTATTATTTGTACTATTAGTAATATTAGTATTGTTAGTATTTTCAGTATTCTTAGTTTTATTACTATTATTAGTAGTAGTATTATTTTTATTATTTACATTATTTGTATTTTTTGTGTTATTAGAATTATTAGTATTATTTGTACTATTGGTATTATTTGCATTATTAGTATTATTAATATTTTAAGAATTTCTTGTATTATTAGTATTATTAGTACTATTAGTACTATACCATAAGTGCTATTACTATTATTAGTATTATTTTTATAATTTGTGTCATATGTATTATATGCATTATTTGTATTATTATTATTATTAGTATTATTTGTATTATTAGGTCGACATAAATCCTCTGCCTAACCCTCCCCTTGGGTGTCCACTGGTAATAGAGAGTTCTGATTGCAGACTCTTCTAGCTAAGAATTGGAGTTTGCTGTGATTCATTGGCGTGAGGTCTCTGGGGACAACAGAGGTAATGATGCACTAGGCTATACCGACGGATTCTTCAGGTCCTTAAGGGCTTTCCTTGTCAGATTGGCTACTGCGGAGCAAAAAATTCTGTTCAACGGCTTCTACGGCCAATATGGCTTCAACGGCAACAACTTTGGCTATACTGACACCGATTGTATGATTTTGAATTGTCTGAATTATAAATTGTCTGAACCCTGGGCTGACAGCTTCAGTATTCTGTTACCTCCGTCGCGTTAAAATCGTGGCTGACCTCAGGAAGCGCTCAATACCCGTCGCCGTTTAGTTGGTGGTGTAGGTGATGTTGAGCGAAGCTCCCTCTTAATATCTGCCTGGCTCTGAATGTATGTGCTCATAAGGCTATACATCAACCTTCACATGGACCTCACTGATTCAAAGGGACCCATGGGACATTTTAAAAGATGACTTCACGTCGGATGGAGATAGCGGACCTGAGTTGGGACCCATTAATATGAAAAATCTGTATTTAAATAAAAAATAAACAAAACTTTCTGCTATTGGAAGACCGGTAGCAACCCCAAGCAGGAGACTGCAAAACTCGAGTGGTACCTCCAACTCCACTTCCAATGAATTTAAAATCTCGTCGCAAATACCTTCTGGAAGCAGAAATACTGCATATACCAGTCGGTATTGTAGTGTCATATCAGACCATGACCACACGCAATTCAATGTATGCGATATGATGATCTGACACTTTAACCCAAAACACTTCAAATCATTATTTATAACCCAGAAACCCAAATTGTATAGCACAATAATTTATGAGTTGGTAATTCGACTCCTTTGTTTTGTCATTTCTTTATGACAAACGTTTTAGTGCATAGCGAAGTATAATTACTTCAGCATGTGCTTGGCAATTTGGATTTCGGAATCTAGAACACATTAAAATATGTCAAGTGTTGTGCGGATCATATTGCAAGCAATTGTGCATGCAATATGATTTGCCCTCTTTTACAGTTGGTCACCATATGTGTGTCAACTATTAAGAAATGATATTGTTGACCAATGACGTAAGTATATAGAAACTAAGAATTATATTAACCAATAGAATTTAAGTAAATAATAATAAAATGTAAAATAGATTATTGTAAAACCGAACTATGATCGGTATGAAAAATATAATTGTACGACAGTGGAGTTCTGAACGTTATATTGAAAAGTGTACACTAAGTTTGTTAATATGATAAATAAAAATAAATAATTGAATTTGATATTAAAATATAAAAATGTGTTTGAATTTTAAATTTATGGACTTAAAACCCCACATGGCGATCCTGCAAATTTGCCAAACGGCAAACGGAAATATTAGCTAAATAATATATTTAAAAAAAACTTTAATTTCATAAAAACAACTGCATTCGGCTCTAGAATCAATGTGCTAAAAGAAAAATAAAAAGTGAACTATTTGTACAAAAATTTAAAAATTTCAATAAATTTAAATATTATATCGTCTATAAAAACAAAAAACAAAAAAAAAAAAACAATGTGTTATTAGAAGTAAAGAGTGAAAGTGAATAAATTTTACAAGATTTAAAAATTTTTTTTACTATGCAAAAATTTCACTGCTTTGTTTGTGGCAAAAGCTTCAAACATAAATATATTAAACAGGCATTTATATAAGCATAATTATATAATAAAGTATGCAAATGCCATAGTAAAAGACAATGACAGACAACATTGAATATAAAAACTACAAATAATAAATATGAGCAAATAAATGTGAAAATATATACAAAAATAAAAGAAAAATCCAAAGAAAATTTAAATTATATTTTTAAAAATTAAAATTTGTGCTTTAATGTTTTTAAACTTAAAACTTATAGAAAAAGTATGTGAAATTTATACATAAAAGCATAAAAACGAAAAATAAAATATTTTGTTAAACAAAACATAAACAAACAAGAAAGGAAAGCAATAAAAATAAAAATCTAACAATTGGAAAAATACTGAAGAGTACTGAAGAATAATGGCCTGGTTTTCACAGGACGTACCTCAAACGGAACAGAAGACAACAACCAATAATCTACAAACAGTTGCTGTCAACACAGGACATGAACAGGTAATAGTAATTACAATAGTAATCGTAATAATAGTTATATTATACATCGCACATAAAATTAATAAATATATAAAAAAATACGTGCATAAGCATGCACACAGAAATTTATCAAACGATGTATAATACAACATAATATATTACAACTTACTATACAAAAGAAAATTTCTGAAAGAAACAAAATCTGTTTAAACAAAAAGAAAAAATTTTAAATAAAAAATTTTAATTGTATTTGTAAAAAAAAAAAAAAAATTTTTTATATTAAAATTATATTGAAAATTATCATTATATAAATATAAAATAAAATGAAAAATATATGTTATTATTATACCAATCTGAATACAAATTGTATTAAATTATATTAACTATATTAAAAGAATTACATAAATGAATTAATAAATTTAAAGTCATAGAAATGAAAATTATACTGTTTAAATATTCTTTAATGGTCATTGTTTCATTACCTTTGAATAAAGTTGTACGCGAACGATAATACCTATAAATATCGTATTATTTCGCATTTTCACTAATATTGTCTCTGATATTTCTTTCTTTTATTGTTGCTCTACTCTGTTCAATTTCCCCATTTTTATGTTGGTTGATATAATAAAATATTTCTCTTTTTCTAAAACACTTTAATGGAAATTATTAGTACTCACATAAGTGAAGTACAAAGTATACTAAGAAACGCAAGGAAAGCTAGTGTAAGAGGATACACTAAGCAAACGATAGAAGAGAAACTAAATAGATTAGAATACCTGAAAAATTGTGTTAGCTCAATATATATTGAATCCAAATTAGTAGAATCCCAAAACCTCAAAGAAATATTTTTTGAAAAATATTCGATTACACATAAACAACTTATTAAAATGTCATTAACCGAACAAACTGACAACTTAATAACCCATAACCAACCCATACCAAACCCACCAAGGACGACACAAAATACAAACACAAGGATGGCTTCGTATGACTCAATTCTGGAAAACGTAGAAAAGGTTCTACCCACATTTCAAGGAAGACAAGAGGAATTAAGTTCATTCCTCCATAGATTACAATTGTACGATAAGAAGATAACAGAAGAGAACAAACAAGAGTTCTTGGAATACATTGTAGAATGCAAACTTCACCATAATGTACGTGCTAGAGTCTCACCACTGGGTTATCCAGACACATTACAACAGTTGATAGAGAAACTTACCAAAGCTTACGTTGCAAAGGATACAGTACAACAGTTACTGCAAAGGATCAACGAAATGAGACAAGGTCACAATCAATCCGTTACAGAATTCAGTGACAAGATGGCCAAACTACTTTCAAGTCTTAATAACATCTCTTTACTCAAGAGAAATTATAATATAACTTCACCACAAGCTGAAGGCATTCTTATAAGCAATGATGAACACGCATTGTTAGCCTATAAGAAAGGACTTAATGCAACCTACTCACAAACGGTACAGGCTGCACAACCTAAATCTTTTCAAGAAGCTAGGGACTTTGCGGAAAATTTAGTTTTTCCAGATCAACGACAACAAGTTTTATATACTCAACATTACCGTGGCAATATGTCGCCACAACAATACAATTAAAAGAGAAATTTCTCTAACCATTTGAATAGGAATAATCAAATAAGAAACCAATATAATAATAATAATAATAGACAGCATAATAATCAAAGAAATCAATACAATAATCAAAGAAATCAATTTAATAATCACCAAAATAATAACAGTTCAAGAAACCAATATCAAGGAATTCAACGTAACAACAACCAAAGGTACCAACGTAACAATGGTCAAAGAAACCAAAACTATCAACATAACCAGAGAAACACCTATAACAGGAATATGAACCAAAGACATGTTCGCTTAACATCATCATAGGAAAACTACATGCGACCAGAGGAAAACCAGTAGAACTCTCCTCTGGTAAAAATAAAAATAATATCTACACGTACAACCCCAATATATCTAATTACATAAAAGTATTTTGCCAAAATACTAATACCTTCATAAAATTATTAATTGACACAGGTGCAGACGTGTCAATAATTAAATATAAACACAACATAGATTATAATTCAAATAAAACATTAATATTAGTTGGAATTACAGACAGTTACAGAACATCTCTAGGAACCACAAACCTACAGATAAAATTTGATGAAACATATTTACATTATGAATTTTCAG